TCAGCGTGAGATAGTCTTCGTGAAGTCAGTGCATCGGCGTCTGTTGTGGAGGCGTCCAACAATGCGTCTCTAAGCGTTTTTGGCTGTTGCCCATCATCTTGCGCCCCCGTGCTGCGCGCTTGTTCAATGGTGCTTCGAGCATTTTCGAACAAGACAGTGAGAGGTTTAATGTTCAGGTCTTTCAGCGCGACGATATTATTAAATCGGGAAGGAGCAGCAGTCGTAGAATCTAGCCGTCGGCGATGAACGACCCTCCAGATGAACTCGCGCAGTGCAACGAGTTTGAACTCATCTTCTGTTGTCATGCCAGCATTCTTTAGTTTCTTGATCCACAGCTCATCCTCTTCATTCTTCTGCATGCGATAAAGAACCTTCTGATCTAACTCCCGCCCGGAGATGGCCGGTAGGCTATCGTCCGATGAACCGAAGCTGAAGGTTTGCTGCTGCCTAGCTGGAATCCAGAACAGCCCTTTCGATGAAGACATGGCCCAATTTGACGCCATTTCCATGATAATTTTAGGCAGCGGTCTCTTAAGGGAATCAAGTATTCGCAGTTCCGAGAAGTCCGAAGGTATCACCTTAAGATATGGCCTGATGAGGTTGACCAGAATGCTGTGTGTATCTGCCACCGAAAGATACTTCGACGCAGCTGATATGAATTGAGCTGCCGCCTCGCGGATCCAGTTGTTGGGATGCATTGTCAGTCGGGCTACGATGTCTACCAACTCCCATATCTTTGATCTTTGAAACAAGCCCAGCTCAGCAATCGAAGAGAAAGCTCGAATGACCTTTTCAACCACGTATTCTTCCGGATCGGTGAGTGCCTGCACCATCAGCGGCAGGATGTACCCTTCTAGACTGGCGCCACCAACGAAGACAGCAACACCAACTATTGCCTCAAAGAATGCACACTTCAACATCCAATCCGGGTCGTTCAGATACGTATTCAGGTGACTCAACACAACATCGTTGGCTCTGGGGCTGCCAAAGAAGACGCAAAGTTCTGACACAGACTTGAGCATCGCACGGCGCACAGAAGCATCCGGATCTGTTAGAAGGGCCTTCGTATGCGCTTGGAATGCACTGACAAGACTCTCTCGATCGAGATCAAAGCGATTTCGATGAGCTGAGGATGTCAAGTCTTCTTCCGTCTCTGGGTCGAGGGAAGAAAGAGTGCCACCTGCACGGAGAGCTTGAATGATGTCGAGGTACCGTGCGGCAGTCGTTGCTAGTGTACCAATGCACCAAGCATAGTGCATACGAACAAGCGGAGATACGCCTGAACCGGCATCCGAAAGATACGGCTCTAGCCGTGGTAGTACGTATTCGGGTATCACGTAGGCGTTGATGGGCGAAACAACGTGGACCATGGCGAGGATCTGCGTCATTGTTCGCAAAGCCGCGACCTTGACTTGTTCGGATTTATCCATCAACAATGGCGCCACATATGGTACCACGCGATCTAGCTTAGCCTCGTCCGTGAGCCTTTCTGCAAATGCCAACAGCAGTTCCAACCCTCGTAATCTGGCTGCCGCTCGAGCAGTTCCTCTCAAGCAAGATACGACAATGGTCAGGAAGATGAGGTTTCCATCGTCGACAGCAAGACTTGGAGTTGGCGCAGCCTGATGTTGGTAATTTGGAATGTCGATGCAGAGGGGGAAGAGTTTCGCGTTGGGCTTAGGGGGCGAGTGCTGCGGTCGTGATGATAGATCCCCCTGGTTACTTGTAAGAAGATGCGAAATCTTGTCAAAGTCACTGAATATTTGCTCTATCCGTTCATCAGGCTCCCCAAGATGTTCCGTCGCGGTGGTGACTGGTTTGCGCCCAGAAGATGGATCCGTGATGGAGTGCATATACTGTTGAAGGAAGCCATAGAAGTAGTGAGGGAAAACTTTGCCGCGCCAATGTTCAAGATAGTCTTCCGCAGACATGCGTGAGTTTGGATCGGCCTGGATCATATGGATGATGAGATCTCGAACATCCTTGTCCTGGATCTTACTGAGATGCGAGTGAGCGGGGTCATACTCTCCTTGACGGTATCGGAAGAGCTGGCTGAGGGAAAAGATGGGTGATTCCAGGAAGAGCTCGGCGATGACGCAACCGACGCTGAAGACGTCCATTGCCCATGTGATGATGCCTTCGCCCTCTGGCTGCGTCCCTGGTCCCAAGAAACGTTCCGGTGCGAGATAGCAGGTACGACGGCCTGACATGTCGAAGTAGAAGGAGAAGTCGGCTGGATTGTCTTCGGGCAAGTATGCTGGCTTGTAGGAAGCGGAGAAGTCGGTGAGATACAGCCAGTTCCACGATGTTACAAGCACATTTTCCGTCTTGATATCGCCATGATAAAGGTTGCGAGCATGGCAATCCCGGACAGCGCACAACAGCTGGAACGAGAGCCATTTCTTTTCAATCTCTTCGAGAAACGGACGGGTGCTCAGTCGATCATACAAAGAGCTGTGAATGTATTGCCGAACAAGATAACCCCCAACGGCCGTTTCAATGATGCGATTATAGCCCAGAGCGTTTGGAATGTCAGCGAGCAGCCTCCGTTCCTCTGAAGAGGTGTTAGCAAATGTTAAAGTCGTGAGCAGGGAGAGGAGTATCGCACCAGAGAGACGCTTGGCGTATTGATCGAGCTTGAAGTTTGCATATGGCTTCATCACCACTCTCGTGACGACCAAGCCATCTTTATGTCGCGCTCGAACCGACTTCATGAACCGGGCGGCTCCTAGAGACTTTTCATATTGGAGGTCTGAAAGCTCCGGCACGTCGATGTTCGCGGAACCCGCAGAGAGGGTTGTGAGGGAGAAGCCTTGGCCCATTTTGATTGATGGTTGTCAGGAAGTTGATGGTTCGCGGTGTGAATATGTAGGCTATGGATGTGGTTGCCTCATGTTGGTACTCGTCGCCAGAACTTGGTCCGCACTCTGTCATTCACCGTTTCATCATCGTGCTATTATCGAACAGCTGTGAAGAGGCTAGAAGTGATTGCGCAGGCAGTCGTTGTTGCTATCGATCATGTGCAGTGTAGGTCGAGGTCATCTTTCATCAACGCCTTGCAGGGTCCTTCCGCGACCATACCGAAACAGGCAAGGCGCTGTCTCGTCGCCGCCTTTCCACGCAACACGTTTGCCCACTTTCTCTTCCAACATCTCCCACAATGCCGGCCAACGAAAAGAATGAGCACGTCGTGTTCTTCCACCCAGACCTGGGAATAGGAGGAGCTGAAAGATTAGTCATTGACGCCGCGGTTGGACTGCAGAACCGCGGCCACAAAGTCACCATCTTTACGTCGCATCGCGATCCCCGCCATTGCTTCGACGAGGCCCGCGACGGTGAGCTTGCCTGCTATGCTTTACGATCTCCCGCCGCTTATTTCGGACGAAGGTAGCTGAGACTTTTCCCTCGACGCAAAGGTACCCTCGATGTTCGCGTACACGGAAACACGATTTTGCCGCCGACAATTCTAGGTCGATTCGCCATTCTATGCGCCATCTTGCGCCAGGTGCATTTAATATTGCACATCGCATTATTTACCAATATACTTGCGAATCTGAAGCCTACCGCCTTCTTCATCGATCAGCTCAGCGCTGGTATACCCCTCCTCCGCATACTGCAACCGAGCATACGCGTCCTCTTCTACTGCCACTTTCCGGACAAGTTGCTTGCAAAGAAGGGGGGATTTTTGAAGACATTATACAGAGGGCCATTTGACTGGCTTGAGAGCTGGAGCACCGGATGTAGCGATACGATTGTTGTGAATAGCAACTTTACAAAGAGCGTGTTCGCCGACGCCTTCCCGGGCTTGAAGGACAGGAAGCCTGGCGTAATCTACCCCTGCGTAGATACGCAGACCGAGAGTGCTGTTGAGGAGATCAAGCCGCTGTGGGAGGATAAGAAGGTCCTGCTGAGCATCAATCGCTTCGAGAAGAAGAAGGACGTTGCGCTCGCGATCAAGGCCTTCGCAGGCCTGTCCACACAGGAGCGCAAAGACGCAAGGCTTGTCATAGCAGGAGGCTATGATCCCCGAGTCGCCGAAAATCTATCTACCTACACTGAGCTCTGTGAATTAGCCGACTCGTTGAAGCTGAAGTACGCGACTGCGAAGACCGTCATCACCGCGCAAGCAATCCCCAACGACATTGCCGTTCTGTTCCTTCACTCCGTTCCAAACGCATTCAAAGCCACTCTTCTTTCCACGTCTCGTCTCCTCGTCTACACCCCGCGCAACGAGCATTTCGGCATCGTTCCGCTCGAAGCCATGCTTGCAGGCACACCGGTGCTCGCTGCCAACGAAGGTGGTCCGACAGAGACCGTCATCACCGGACAAACCGGCTGGCTGCGCGATGTGAGCAAGGTGGGAGACTGGACCGAAGTCATGCGCATCGCACTAGAGGACGGCGAAGGCGAGACTCGGCTGAAGAATATGGGTAAATGGGGGAGGCAGAGAGTCATTTCCGAGTTCTCGAAAGAGAAGATGGCTGAGACGATAGAAACGGAAATTCGGAATATGAAGAAGAAGACGGTGCGTCCGCCTGTCACGCCTTTTGAGGCTGTCGTGTTAGTGGTTGCGCTCATGGGTGTGATGGCTGCGGCCAGTATGTGGTTTGTCATCACACAGTATCAAGAAACAAGTAAGATGTAAGATATGCGTGGTCATGTAGAATAGGAACATGTAGAGTAAACTATGAAAACTACGGCGTACTCAAGCTACTTGCGCTCAAGCGTGTGTTCGAAGAGTCATGACCACGATACTGTCTCGTGTATCTCGTAAAGAAATAAGACTAGCACATTATACCAAGTACACGCTTCTCCTCACCATATTTAATCACAACTCAATACGTTACGCCAAAATGGTAGTTCATCCCTTGTCCCAAAAAAAAACGCTAAGGACCCACCCTCGCTTCAACGCACAACCTCTAATAAAAATTCACCCACGCAATCTCGAAAGGATACTCAAAGCTCCTAGAACAACGCAAAAAAAAGAACGAGGCTAACAAAGGTCGTGCCCGGGCTCGAACCGGGGTTGCCGGAAGTTATTGATTTTGATGCTGATCAAAATCCGGAGTGATCACCACTACACTACACAACCTTCGAAGTGTTGACAAGAATCATGGCAAAAATTGCTTTTTATAAATATATATATGAGTAAATAATGTAATGACCAGCAGGTTCAGGATAGTTGAGGGGGTGGGTGCTTTGGGGGGTTGAGTATGGTTGGTTGGGCTGTAGTGCGGTAGTGATAGTGGGGCGTTCACGTGGTGGCGGGGACGGAACAGGGCCGGATGGGTGGATATCCGAGAGGGGATGCGGAACGTGGATATTTCGTCGCATGTTTAGTTGGTCTGGAATGTGTAGTTTCCGCAGGTGGGTCTTGAGATGATTTTATCATATCTTTCATAGGAAATTGATGGTTGGTTAAAGTACCCCTGGCTGAGAGTTCGCTCAGCTCCTGTCGCCTCCGATCTGAGTGATGCATTACTCAATTTCCATCATTACTCTAGACACGACTTCATTTGAAGTTTGGCCAACGAGATATACTTCAAGAATGCATCTCCGGGAGGGAGGAGAAAATATTAATAAACCTTATAGACTGAGACGCTACGATTGCTTGTGTTTGGCTATCTCGAGACACCGCACGTCGACACTGACTGCAAGCGGAAGCTCCAAATGCAAACACAATACTGAACACCTTAACATTCTCGCATCTGAGTAATCCATAGTCTTTCTCTCCGTTCTTCCAAAACTCAAATCCAGTGTAGCTTAACCGGAATACGCTGAAAAATGCAAGTGACGTCTCCCACAGTCCCCAAAACTGACCATTCAGTATCACGAGTACCATCTATCAGTGGCTTCTCGAGATCGATTGAACTCTTGTACTCCCGGATCGATACATCGACAGAAGAAAGAATCGAAAGGGAGGCACGCAACACGCTCAAAGAACGAGCATCTAGCGCCTACGTCATAGACTTTCCCATCCCAACTAAATTCAAACAACCCCTTCCCCAGTCCCCCTCCCCTATCGCGAAAAATAAAATGCCGTCAAGCACAACCAAAACCCACCGCATGCACTACCGCATCGGCCGAGGCGAAACCCTCGTCCTAACCTTCGAGCCCTACAAGTCCGAAATCCTCCCCTTATGGCGCTTCAAAACGTCTTCCATCGCGACAAAATCCTCCCAAGCCATCTACTCCAAGTTCCTCGACTATGATAAAAACGATGACTTTGTGGGCATGGACATGTGTCGCAAGTTTCTTCAGATGGGCATGACGCGTGCGAAGCGATACGCGAACCATAAGGGAGGCAAGAAGTATGGGAAAGATGGAGAGGAGTTGGAGAAGAGTATGGGGCATGAAGGGAGGGAGGAGAAGCTTGAAGCGAGTCGGATTTTCAGGGAGGTGTGGGAGAGGGCGAAGGGGCATAAGGGGTATCGGGTGAAGAAGGAGTTGTTTTTGAAGGAGCAGAGGGAGTGGGAGGAGGAGACATGAGGATTGAAGGAACGTGTCCAGTTGAAAGAATGGTATAAGAGTGCTGGACTACCATAAGGATTGTGTAATAAACCCCAGGCGTTTAACTAGATTAGTTGTTTTTAGACGCCTCAGGGACTAGGTCTAATAGAGAGCCTAGGCGTATTTCTTAAGAGGGCGCTTTTAGATAACTTAGATTTCTATTTTAGTTAGAGTAAGGTTAGATATAAATTAGAGAAGAGGCATATAGCAAGAATTATTACAGGCGCGCTTAATAGTGCTTTATATTATCTAACTTGTTTCTAATAAAGTATTGTAGCAGGTCTTTATAATACTCTAAGCGCTGTATAGTTAGTATAACGGATAATTTAGAGGGTTGCATAACTTGATGCCACTTGTAAGGGGATATTGAGTAACAGGAAGGCTCGAGAAATGAGATAGCAAAGGGTAGTATTCGGTCAGATATAAGACGAATCCTTAGGGGAGTCGTAGAGCTCTGAGGGGAAACTATATACTGGGAGGCAGTCAGGTGACTGCGAGGGCCGGGTATGGCCCGAGCTGGTGCCAGGTAGGTTCCGAGGGTGAATGGGCGTGACACCACTCTAGTCTATTCTCATCAAGCAACATAGACTCTATCATCCATCTGCAAAATCTCTCGCATCAGAGGATGACCATCAAAGCGAATGTTGAGAAGATAGCTTCGCATACTGGCTCGAAGACAGGCGAGCATTATCACCGTATAGTTGACAACAATGGTTTCGTCCTTGGGCTGCCAGTCCGTATAAAGGTCCTCCATGTCCACCGGATAATCTTGAACTCCACCAAAAGGAAGTTTCACTTTAACATAACCTGTTCTCAGAGCTACCTCAAGAGATGCAGAGATCGATTTGTCGAAGTGCCGAGCTGACTGGCGCACGAAAGTTGCGAATTCCTCGTTGGTTATCAGTAGTACCCCAATTATGTCATTTATCTTGGGGTTGGAATGACCAGAGCGAAAGAGGATTTCATCGAGCGCGTAGAACTCGGTATGCGACGGGATGGAAATGCCGCTTTGCTCCCTGCGGACCAGCTTATCAACCTCAGTCAAGGTATCTTTGAGACGTGTCTTTTCCTGCTGCACAACGTCGAGGCGTTCGACATTTTCTCTCACCCGAGCTAGTAGGTACAGAAGCTCGCGTCCAGCAACCTCAAGGAGCTGGATACAGTATGCAGAAGAACCACCACCAATGAGGTACCCTTGAGGGTGCCAGGGTAGACTAAACAGTCCATGGGCAACCTTCTGCGCATGTGCTCTCCAGAAAAAAATGTTGCTAGGATGAGTACCTGCATTATCGGTCTTGGAAGGCGTATCCAGTCGAAGAATGGGTCAATGAACGTCACGCTCATGTTCATCCTCAAGTCTGCTAAGCCACTCTGATCCAATGTCTGTGGCTCAAAGGCCAACACATCTTGGTTCATCTGCCCGAACGTACTTCTTAATCGCTCAAGCTCAGTATCCTGACCGGTGACCTTCTCCAATCGTAATGCGACCGGCTCTTTCTCCTAGTTAACTGTACTTAAGCGGCTCGTAGAACGTTTTCGAGTTGTTTCATCGCGACTGTCTGCTCTGGAAATGACCTCGGTAAAGTAGCTGTCCACTCGCGTGTGGGTGTGGGCGCGTGGGGCTGTACCAATATCCATAGGATGGCGGTCAAACTCTAGTTCTTCCCCTACCCATAACTCAATCAAGGCAATGTATTGCTGAGAAGGTAATGGCATACAGCCAATTGCTAGCATGAAAAGATCCCGCAAAGAAAGCCTCTCGCCCTCGATCCCAGCAAATTCGGATTTGGGAAGCGGCAAGAACATGGCGATAGAGGATTCCGATAAGCCAAGGTCGGAAACTTTCTCAGAAATCTTGATCTGGCCGGTCGTACCATTCAAAGCTACTCGAGTTGACCAGGTGGCGGATTCAACAGTGTTGTCTTCGGATGTATCTTTCTTCGGTGTCTGGAAGCTAATCGACAAGGATTTGTTGCGTTTTCTCCTCAAGGGTCTGCTGTCTTTCGTCGAATATCTCCCGATGAGGCCGATGATCAAGATCCAAACTCGGTGTACGGGGAGGATTACTGTGCCGCAGTAAATGACTAGATTGTTGCCCTTGTCGAACGTTACTCCATATGCGAGTAGCAGGCTAGCAAACTGAACCCAGGTTGCTCTGGATTCGGCCCCTTGAATCGCGCTGTGTTCCAGACTAGGACCGGATTCTCTGGCATCTGGTCTAGAATTGGGGCACTAATGCGACGGAAGAGACGGACATCGGAGCCCACGAAGCGGATACCGGAGCCGATAAAAGGTTGTTTCGTATCTCCCGCGTCATGGAGTGCCTTGTTCCTCTCGGTTCGCGCCGCAGCCCATATCAAGAAAGGACCGATAACAGCAGTTAGCGCGACGAGACCAATGCATACTGCCACCCAGGTACCAATGGTGCCCGCAAGTGTCACGCGGTCCGTTTCAGCCATGGTTATGGCTTTGAGATTAAGTCTTCAAAGAAGTTAAAGTCGTGTAAAGAGCACTGCGTCGGTGTATCAGAAATAAAAAACTACAAAACGATATGATCAATGAATTACCCCGCACCTGACCCCGCACCTGAGTTTACGAATAGGGTATCCATTGGAATCTAAACCAGGCTGACGACAAGTTCAGCTTTGTATATCAAAGCCCTGATAAGTCAGGTCGCTTCCAACTACCGGATAGAAAAAAGTGGGGAGAGCGAATACGAAAGTCGGGAGCTCGACGGCTTTTTCTTTTATGTCTGCATCTCTGGCCTTCAGATCGAATTCATAACTGCCGAATCAAGAGGTTCTTACCATGTGCCATACTTCATCAGGCTGATTCGTTGACCGGCATGAGCACATGGCCAGGCTGAAACCCAGTAGCGCCAATTTTTATAAAGACTCGACCCCCTCCAATTCTTCACACAAGAGACAGATAGCTTAATTAATTATTCATGCGAAGCTTCTCAATAATCCCAGCTACCACTTCCTGACAGGCTCCCGTTCTCCAGCTCTCTATCGACTACTGCACCGACTGTGAGTCGGAGAATATCTGTACTCTTAGCAGTAAAAAGGATCTTGGTTCAATTTGTAAGTTGAGACAAACGTGATGTTGCTTCCGTGAAACAAGGCAAAGGAAACATCAAAATTCACCGTTAGTACGTTGTGGTGTTGTCAAGTCAGAAGCGCAGTAACGAACAACACAGACAGACGAAGGAACACAACTTATGCCTGTGGACTACCAGCAAGTTACTGTGAACGTACCTACTAGTAGTATTTACTATCCTAGGAGGGAGAGCGATGACGGCGGTCACGACCACTACCACGACTGCGAGAGCGTGAGGTTGAGATCGAGCTCGAAAGTGAGCTCGAAAGTGAGCTCGAAAGTGAGCGTGATTGTGAGCGTGAACGGGTAGGATTGTTACCTAACACGTTTCGAAGATCGTGTACGAAATTCCTCAGCGGGTTGTGCCCGGTGAGTGACGACGATTGTTTCCACGACGAGGATTTCTACCTCGACGCTCGCCTTCTGCGTTCGCGATATTTACCGAAGCTTGGATCACTAGGTTGAGCTGTTCTTCTTCGGTGA